GTATTGGTCATGTAATCTGACCAGTGGATGTTAAGGATTGTACGGAGACAGCGTTGATGCCTGAATAAACTCCCAGGGATTTTCTTTGCCTTGAACTCAGTGGATGAAGACATCAGAGGTTCTCCCCAAAAGTAGCACCTCTCGATCTGATAAATCTATGGAGCTTCAAAAGCTTTTTTCCTGCCAGGGGTTGCCCAAAATTGTTGCCAAATACCTCCAAAATGGTCAGGACAACAGAACCCTCTAACACTGCATTTTTAGTGTTAGAAAGCAAAGCATTACTTTATTCATGGCACTAGGTGTTTGTGAGGTTGACAAAATTCTGCCTTCCACATAAACCCCAGTACAACACTTTTTCACCTATTTATGCATTTTTAACAAAGAAAGAAATTATTGTTCATTGGTTCTAAATTACATAATTTTCTTTCATTAATTAGTATTCTGTCCACTACTGGTTATTAATTTCTTGGTTTGTGTGGTAATTAGTCCTAATCTTTAATCTTTTTAGCATCTTTTTCCTCCAGTAGGGATTTTCTGACACAAATACTGAGCTTTAGTTAGTCTTCTTCGTTATTTGCTGGTTTCTGCAAAAATGTCCTTGTGATCCATAAATCCTGTGTTTCAGATGTCCAATTTCAACAATATGTCTTTCTGTTCTCGGTGTTGATCACTGAGGCATATCAAGGTTAATTTTAACAGAATTTACAGTTTTAGTACTTTTCCCAAGCTGTGTTCTCACAAAAGTAGCTTATGACATCTTTTTGCTATATGCTGACTAAAAGTGATTTAAGGCCTAACACAGCTTATGATAATTAAAACAACTAATTAAAAGGTTAATTAGGACCACTAAAAATTAGAAAAGTTGTATCGTTTCCAACAGGGACAAGCAAGGTAAAGGTGGCTCTGATGCTGAGTAATCCTAGATGAATTTCCTTAATCCAAATGGCCCTTTGGATCTGGTTTATGACTACATTAGCCCAAGGGCCAAGCCCTGACCCCCAGCCCCTGGAAGGCAGATCCTGTCCCTGCCTCATTCCTCAGGGCTCTTCCTGGGGCACTGGGATGTGGGATGTGCAATGCCAAGGGCAGGATGATGGGGTGGCACCTGCCAGGCAGCTGAGCAGGGACAAGGAGGCCATGAAGCCCCAGGGCTGCAAGGGCCACTTGTCTCCTCCTGGCATCAGGGCCACAGACAGCAGCCATGGCCAAAGGCCTGCAGAAGGTGGCTCTGGCAGGGCCTTTCAGCTTCTCCCCATCCCTGTCTCCTCTCCAGCCCAGGCTGTCCTACGGTGTCCATGCCCTGCCCCTTTCCCTGCAGGCTGTCGTCATCCCCCTGGCTGCCCCACCTGGCTGGCACCTTCCTGCACTGACATCTCTGCGTCCTCCCTGGCTCTTCCTGGACACACAAAGCCTTGGGCTGATCCAGACTCCTTCTGGGTGATGTGTTGCAGCACAGCACGGCCCTGGGAGTGAAATTCCTTTTTCCTCATGTCCAGTCTGGGCCTCACCAGCTGCCCTTGGTGGCATTGTTTCTTTCTCATCCTCATTTCCACTAAGAAGGAAAACTCACCATCTCTGAATCTGCCCTTCAAGCCCTCTCAGGCTACTCCTGCACTGTCTTCAATTCTCCACATCGAGTCCAGTACCCTCAGCCTCCATGTATTTGTCCTGTGCCTGAGGCTTCCAAACCCCACTTGAGAGATTTCCGGGTCCTCTCCAAGGTTTTTGCAGATGGAAACATTGTGTGCTTAGTCCAGGAAGGATGGAGTGAAGTTTTTTTCCCAGGTCTTGTACTCACAGAGCAAATGAGTACAAGGCAATGGCTTTAAAATGAATGAGGGTAGACTTCGACTGGATATGAGGAGGAAATGACTTATGATGAGAGTGGCACAAAACCGTAACCGTTTTCCCAGATAAGTGGTTTCCCCCTGCCTGGAAGTGTCCAAGGTTAGGAGCTTTGTGCAACCTGAAATTTTAAAAGTTGTCCCTGCCCATGGTAGGGGTGATGCGTGAGCTGCTCTTTTAGGTCCTTTCCAAAACAGACCATTACATGATTCTTTGATTCTAATACCCACAACTCCTTTCCACAGCTCTCCAAATACCCACATGAACCATGCTGGCATTTTAATCCTAATTCCCAAATTTCCATAAAAAGAGAAAGAATTCGCATTTCTAGGACCTGAATTGCCATGCTTTTGGAAGCATGGAACTCCTCAGTGGGGGAGTACCTGGGTGTTCCCATGTGAACCTGAGCATGCATTATTGACACACTGAACTCTTTGTTTCATGGGCCCCCAACACCAAAGGATCAAGACCTCAAGTATCCCTTTGACCACAGAAATTGAAACAATCAGGTCTCATTGCTGGATCCATGGGGGGTGAGATCTTTCTTCTCCACTGCCTACCCTTGTCCTTTCCTTCTTTTTCCTTCTTATGTATTTTCTGAAGTGATATATTTATAGTTTTATAGAGAATAACCCAAGTAGCTACATACCTCCTTTCCACTGCAATTAATAGACCATTGACCACCTCTCTGGCTGCTCCATCCAGCCAATTCCTCATCCAGTTTAAAAGGCAGAGGTTTCTTGAGAGGGATGTTTTTTATCTCAGCTCCAGCAAGACTTTCGGTCTGGTCTCCCTCAGTGTTTCCCTCACAGCCTGGGTGGGCAGACAAAGAGCTGGGCAGAAAAGGCAGTTGGATGATGATGCTGAGAGAGCAGAGGTGAAGGAGTCGCACCCTTCCTGGTGTCCACTGGGACACACTGGGGCATTGTGGGGCAGCACAGGGGACTCTGCTGAGAACTGGGCAGTTCAGCACCTCTATCATGGCTCAGAGGACACAACTCTCACCATGTTTGTTCATGGCATTAAATTGGGAGGAGCATTCCTTTGCCTTGGGATGCCATTCAGGGCACACCTGAGAGGCAGGTGGACTGTCCAGTCAGGAAGTTCATAGGACAGTTCAGGAGGGAAGGGAGCTCAGTGCTCTGCAGTCCAATGTGCAGCTCCAAGCAGGGTCAGCTCTGAGCTCACACCATGTGGCTCAGTAAATGTCAGCATCCACAGAGAGATTTTACACACAAACCAGGCCTCTATCTCCCCCCTCAAAAGTAAAAGAGATGAGGACTTTGACCAGCTCCTTGAAAACAAGCCTTGTTTTGCTCTACCTCCTGAAATTCCTGGGAATATCTACCTTGTCCAGAGGATGGGGTTCCTCCTGCAGGGCTGCTAGCACATGTCCAGGCCATGGGGTGCTTTGTGTTGTGCTTTAGGGATGGAACTGCCCATAGACTCTCCATATTATTGTTCCCATAGACTCTCCAAACCACATTGGAGAGGAGAATTGGAAGTACAAAAGGTGAAGATCACAGGTTGAGATAAGAACTGTTTACTGGAAACTGCAAGATGAGAAAAGGAACAGCAACAGCAACAATATTAATAACAGAGAGCACGAGAGAAGCGAGTGATATATATATATATATATATACACACACACAAGCACAGGAATCACTTCCCCAGTCAATGCTGTCCCTCCAAGGTGTCTGTTGAGTTCATTTAGTCCATGACTGTGGGTTCTATCCACCCTGGATGTCTCCCAGGGCAGGGCTGGGGTGCTGTGGGCTGGTTTCAAGCAGCATCAGGAGCTCACGACTGGTGTATCTGGAGTAGCCCATCCTCATTGTCCATGGGAGTTCTGGGACACAGTGGCAGTGTCATTCAGCAACCAGTATTATACAATTGAACATCGCAGACTGTTCTCACCCCAAACCAAATCCCCTTGAGGTACACATCATGTTTCCCTGTCCCTCTGCGTCACCCAGCAAGTGCCCCCAGATCCTTGAGCAAAAGCAATCCCACAGTTGAGTTTGCCTTTGTTTGAGGCAGGACTGATCCAAACTGTCTTCCCTCACATGTTCCTCACATGCACCATGGGGACTTTATCCCCTCCGATGGTACAGGGAGGTTCTGATGGGCAGGGTCAGCTCAGTTGGTGGAGCCTTGGGTGTGAACTGACCAGGTAGCCTTGGCTAAATGGAGATCCCAGTGTTTCAAGGTCCCACCACCCAATGCTTTCAAGGTGGTTTTGAATGGTGCATTGTTCTATTCAACTTTCCCAGTGGCTGGTGCATGATGGGGAATATGATACACCCACTCCATCCTGAGCTGTCTGGCCCAGGGGTCCATGAGGCTGTTTTTGAAATTCTCAGTTCTTTCTAGGGGCCATGTTCCTACAGGACTCGCTTTTCCAGGCCCAGGACCTTCTTCCAGGCAGTGGTGTGAGCACAGGGTGTGTGTCCAGCTGTCCAGGGCTTGTTCCCACCATTGTAAACACAGGGTATGATGTGATCCATCTGCCAGGCCTCCCCATATCTGTATTTCCACCATCATCCCCCATCCCACAGAGACTTTACCTGCTTGTCCTTCTTGTTCTCAGCACGTTTCACCGTCATGAATAACCCAGGACATGGTGTCTATGGTTAAATCCACCTCTCCATCATGAGCCAATGTTCCATCATGAGCCAATGTTCCATCTCTTCCTGATGACCTGAGGCGTCCTGGGCCCACTGAGCCAGAAATAATTCATTCTAGTGTTGTCAGTCCAGATCCACCCGAGACACTTTAATCTTAGCATCTCAATCCACCTGTTGTCCCTACAACATGTCAGGAACCGTCAGTGAAGAGAGTGTGCCGCTTTTCATTTTCTGGGAGCTGATAATATGGTGGGGCCTCCTCAGCATGTGGCTCCTCCTCCGATGATGATGATAGTCTGAAATTTTCACCTTCAGGCCAGTTTGTGACAACTTCCAAGATCCCTGAGTAACTGAGATTTCTGTGTGATCTTGCTGTGTGATCAGAGCCATCCACTGGCTCCACGTGGCATCATTGGCATGATGTGTGGAAGGGACTTTCCCTTTCAACATCCAGCCCAGCACTGGCAGTCGGGGTGCCAGGAAGAGCTGTGCTTCAGTGCCAATCACTTCTGAAGCAGCTCAAACCCCTTCAGAAGCTGCCAGGATCTCTTCTTCCAGAGGGGGTGTAACAGGCCTTGGATCCTTTGTATCCCAAAAGTCCAGAATCATAGGGATCATCCTCGAGTCTCCCAAGGTACTTTTTGCCAGAGGCTCCAGGAAGGACCATTCTCCAGGGTCTCTGGAGCTGCTGGGGTTGGGGGCATTGATGTCCAGCTTGCCTCCCTCTCCTCCTCCTCCTCACCATTGTCCCCACTGCACAGGGTACATTTCCCACTGGAAAAACAGGGATTTGGGGGCGAAAAGCCATTTTTTTTGATGGGGAATGTCCCTGGGGGTCATGGTTGCACCAGGGTGAGGCTGCTCTAGGGCAGCTGCTCTCTTACCTTGGAGCTTTCCTCCTCCTCCTCCCACTCCCCCTCCTTGCCATCATCGTCCCTGTGTAGGGTACATTCCCCAGAGAAAAAACAGTGAGCTGGGGGCAGAAAATTGCTTTTCTGAGGGGGAGCCTCCCTGGGGGTCCTGGTCATGCCAGGACATCCTTCCTCCTTCTCCCCTCTCTCCATGTCCTCCTCCTCACTGCCCAGGGCACATTCCCCAGAGGAAACCCAGTGATTTTGGGGCACAGAACTGTTTTTCTGAGGGGGAATCTCCCCAGGGATCCCAGTCATGTCAGGACAGCCTTCGTCCCTGACCACCCCCTCCTCCTCCTCTTTCTCCTCACTGCTCAGGGCACATTCCCCAGAGAGAACTGTGGGCAGAAAGCTGCTGTTCTGAGGGGGAACCTCCCTGGGGGTCCCCGTTGTGCCTCTCTTCCTCTCCCTGTCCTCCTCCTCCTCATCCCCGCCACTCAGGGCACCCCTGAGCTTGGCCCAGAAGAGAGGTCGGGCAAGAGGCTCGCTGGGCCAGCGCAGGTGGGTGCGGCGCAGCAGCACACGGCGCATGCGGTGGAAGGCTGAGAGTTCAGCCTCAGGGATGTCCTCGAGGAAGATGAGCACAAGGACATCACGCAGCTCGTCGAAGAGGCGGTAGCTGGCGAGCTGGATCTCCAGCGAGCACCACTCACTGCGCAAGTACCCGCGGCTCACCACGCACACTGTGCGCCGGCTGTTGTACACGGCATCCACGATGTTGTCCACAATGGCGCGGCCGGGGCAGAAGTCG